GGATTTGCATCGAGCAGCTGACAAACAAACAAAAAATCTACGGCCACTTGCCAGTTGGGGCTGCGAAGCCAAGGCCAAAACCAAGCATGTGGCAGAGCTTAGGGTGGGAGCATTGGAGGCTGAATAGCTACCTGGCCATGAAGGCGGCAGGCGATGCCATATGGCCATCATGGACGCAGATGTGTTGACAAGAGTGCGCCACGAGTGTGACGACAAGGAGGGGCTGAAGAGGCCCACACAAAAGAGTCAGCAAATAAAAAGATGTTCCCAAATGGTTAAGCCAACCCGGCAAAAATGTTAAGCGCAGAATATAAATACAGTAACAATCAAAGAATGGGATTCGAAATACCCGAAGCTCAATGCACATTCATGGCCCCACCGACTAGTTACATTTCCTCTGGAATTTTTTTAAGTTTTTAAGTGTAGTAAAGGTGCATCCCTCTGACAGTAAATGCTGGCCAGTTTGGGGGAATCCACACGGCTTCTGAAACAAACTGATAGACTCCTTGAGGCGAGGCATGGGTCCTGCTGTCAGCAGCTAACAAACTGTGGCTGATTGCAGGAATATCCCAATACTCGTACCTGCGAAACTTGATTGAAATCGTTTTCGGGAATATCATCATCAGGGGGCGAGTGCATAACAGTGTGGAGCTTGAGCTCGAATCTTGTCTGGCATACCTGTTTGAGAGCCTTTGTTCTTATTTCGAGGCCCTCTCACCCGGTTCGGGGCTTGGTTGGTATGTTCTACACATGTATTCTGCGGGTGCTCTGCTGCCACCTCACCCCTTGTTTGCCTATGTGTGTGACTGTGCGTGTGTGTGTGGGTGTGGGTGTGGCAGGCCCCGACAGACATTGCATTGAAAAGTAAAACAATAAAATTGTACATGGCCCATAAAAAAGCATAAATATGACGAATGTACAGGGGAGTGGGGAACAGAGACAGAGACAGAGAGAGAGAGAGAGAGAGAGAGACCCACGCACAATTGACTGTGTGTCCTGCCTACGTGTGTGTGTGTGTGTGTGGCCCATTTGGGTATTGTTTGGTGTCCCTCTCTCTCTCTGTTTGTGTGTATCTTTGCCTGCTTTTAGGCGATGTACTCAATGCTGGTTGTAAATTTTATCACTATCAACGCTGGATAATAAATTTGTACGCCTTGTGGATTTGTGTGTAAATTTGCCCAACACACACACACACATACACAAACAGGATGGAATATATGGTGGCCATATGCTGTTTAAATGCCATTTTCATAGCACACTTTTGTGCGCACGTTTTAACGGGTATTCTTCCCCACACCCCAAACTTAAACCCACACCCGAAGTTGAAACCAAAATCTCAGCTGCGCGCAGGCAGAACACTAAAGTCGTTGTATCAATGAAAGGATAGTGCAAAAATTAACCACTTGTTGACGTGACTTTAACCAAATGCGAATGCAGAAGTTTCCCAAAAAAGTAGCTGAAAAATGTGCAGAAAAAATCGCTTGCAATTTATGGCCATTAATCCAAATGTAAACTTTTTGGCTGCTGGCTATTTTAATGACAGCACAAAATAATGGCCCAAAAGTCGTAATAACTTACCATTAGCCGCAGAATTAGATGGGGAAAATTTCGATTTAATGATAAACCCAAAACCCAATTTAAAACTTTGTGCCAACAGGTAACACTGCTGGCTAAGTATTACATTAGGTAAAGTTGGATATTGTATGGGGGGGCATAAACAGCATAAACTTTCATACATTTGCATACTAAATCAAAGCAGAAGTTGCGTATACGCACGATGGACCCAACGACACCCTTGAAGTGCATCAATAACAAGCCCCCACCCCGATACACGTACAGGGGTGTGGGTAGGGGAGTGGAGTGACAGGCATTAGACTGACATTAAAGTTCAATAAAAGTGAATTTATATGACCGAGCTGCGAGTGAGTAGGAAATCCTGTCTAGGACACGCTTGCCTGAGTGTTGCCTGATTATTTGCTTATTTGTATCCATGGCTCACACATATGTATGTACATGCGTATTTTTGTTTGTTTTTTTTGCACTTCCCCTTGGCATTAAATAACAAGCGTTTTTTGCGCTTGAAAAAGTTTGTGCTCAGCCTTGGTTCTTTCGTGGGCCCCATAAATTATGCTACACTTTATTATTTTGTAAAATGCCAGCCAGACAAGCGAACAGAAGAGACGACGAACCGAACCCGAACCCGAACTCGAACCCCTCAGAGCACCCAAAAAAAAAAAAATACGAGCAGCAGCCCAAGAAAAAATGGCATACTTTTTTCCTTTAATGGCAGGAAAAAAAGTTAATGCCCCAACATAGATCCCAGACTCGTAACCGGACGCCGGCATAGGACCCCTTTTTTTTTTTTTGTTGCCTCCACTTTGCTGCTGCTGCTGGCACTGGCACTGGCACTGCTGCTGCTGCTGTTGTGTGTCAACATCGCGCCCACAAAAAATTGGTTAGCCACAAGGGTTACACACTGTATCCGTGTGGATGGGTGTGCGCTTGTGCTTGTGTCCTCCTCTGCTGTTAATTGATAATGCCCAAGCCAGAAACTTGGCTACGGGCCCCACTTTGGCATAGTCAAAACCATAATGGCCAGACAATACTAACAAAAATGTAAAGTACATAATGCTGCTGGCTATATATGTAGTAGGGGAATTCATGCTACATTTGAGGCCTGGCACAGCTGCAGCTCTAGGGCTGGCCAACTTACGTATGTACCAGAAGTAGCTCTGAAGTACAGTCTGCTCTTAAAGTACATATTCAATGGGCAACTGCTGTCAATATTTTCGAGACAGGTAATACTATTTCAGAGTTTGCATATCTGCATCAAGTGAGGTTTTGTTGTGCCTCCCCCAAAGACTCCTTCACCCATATTTCTACCGTAACCATATATGTAATGGTCCCTGGGCCATTGCACCGATGCAAATTCGTGTGCCAGCAATGTGCTATCCATAAAATACGTATCTTTGGTAGCAAAGTCAAGTGCCAAAACTATTTGGCGCATCGGGCCATAAACATTGAGTGGAGGAGTAAATCAGCCTTAGAAGGGGGCGGGTTTGCTGGCTGGCACACAGCTGCTACCGCCTACTATATGTACGTACATGTAACCCACATATATACTTGTGTGTATGTATTTTTTTCTCGGTATATTTATTGGTTTTGTGTTGGCTTTTTCTTGTGGTGGCGCCTGGCCTTTGTTGTCATTACTATTGATTCCTATTCACATTTTTTATTCTCATTGCTCAATTGCTGCCTTATTTTCCATCCTACCTGCTCTGCCACTTCTGCTGCTTATTTTGGGGTTCTATTTTGTTGTTGTTGTTGCTGTATACCCTGGGCACATTCTGCGCTAAATATATATTTGAAAAGGAAATTGATTTGCGGTCAAAAGCGTTTGCCTTGCCTTGCCTTGCCTTGCTGTCGCGACACATTTCCCGCTTCCTTTGACTTTTCCACTTGTGGGGGCCCCTCAGCTTTTCTGCGTTTGTCGCCCCCTTCGTTTGATTGTTGCCTTTTTGACATTATTTTCGTGTCGCTTTGGCTGGTGGCTTCGTGCCCCACATCAATCCATTGCCGACTAGTGAACGTCTGCGTCATCTCTTCTCATCTTCATCTGCTTTTTGCACTGCACTGCTGTGTGTGTGTGTGCGAGGGAGGGAGGGCCAAAAACTTTTTTTATGGTTCAACGCCGTTGACCCTCTTCTGTGTTGCTTCTCTCTCTCTCTGCTATTTCTGCCCCCATCTAGTTCTCTCTTTTGGCCATCTTCTGATGCCGCCTTTGCTACGGTTCTTTTGTATAGGAGTAACATAAATTGCTAGCTAATTGCAAGTGGCTCCTTGGCCAAGCAGAAGTACACTGAGTGGGCCGCACATAGAGATGAAACGAAGGAGGGACTGAGAGAAGCACAGGAATGAGTGGTAGAAAAGCCAGAGTGGGAGCAAAATATAGCATGAGAAAGTCACAGCAGAGGGGACTAATAAGTATCTACGTTTTTTTGTTGATCTTCCGACTACAGGATACCCGCTATTGAGGTTTAGATTAATGTACCCATAAAACGCCTGCCTGTACATTACAGATCTATGCCGATCATATTCGCTCTCTCTATATCTCAAATATGTAGTCTATAAATACGCGTCCTAGAGAGCGCAAACTTTCTTGTTTCAATTACAAAATTACACGTAAATCGGTCGCAAAGCTAAAGCGATTTTACTTTTGAAAATTGCTGAGCGGCACTGTATGTATTTATAACTACATAGAAGTGTACATACATATATCTATATGTACAACACTCATGTTGCAGTTGCATACACCCCCAAGAACGTAATATGCCCACCCAATTGGCTATCCTTCGCCTACCGGTTATAAAGGCGAATGCAGAAAACAACCAAAAAAAAAAATAGTAACAATGCCAGGGATCCGTTTTCCCCACTGACTACTCATCCCTACCACAGTCCCGCCACCCCACAGCATCACAGTTTCCACCCCACAGCAAGACAGTTTCCACCGTTGCAGCACACCACACACATCGACATACCCTACCCTACCCTACCCCAATGGTGGAAGCGTCTGAGTCGGAGTCGGGATCGTTTCTCGGTCTTTGCTGCTTGCTGCCTTTTGTCCGCGTAATTGGTCGAAAAGAAAAACTCCGTGGCCAAAGCGCGGAGGTCAATGTTTCGTTGTAAGAGCGGACCAAAAAAAAAAAAAAACAAGAAAATATGCATAAACGCTGAACAGTTGCCACAGCAACAAAAGATGCTTCCCATTATGCAATAAGTTATTATTTCAGATTTTTGAGCGCCATAAACAAACATATTTAATTACCATTCAATAGCAATTATGCTACAAGCTGATATTTATTTTGATATTTATTTGAGTGGCAAACATAAGCTACGAGTATACGAGCTTAGTAAGCCTCAGGGCTGTCCACCAACCAACCAACCAATTAATCACACATCTAAACAATTTCTTTGAACGTAACCTCTGGTGCCTCTTGCAGTTGTGGTTGCCAACCAACAGATGCGCTCGACCACCAATCTGCTGATAATCAACCTGGCCGTCTCGGATATCCTGTTCGTCATCTTCTGCGTGCCATTCACGGCCACCGACTACGTGCTGCCCGAGTGGCCGTTTGGCAATATGTGGTGCAAGTTTGTCCAGTATATGATTGTGGTTACGTGCCACTGCAGGTGGGTTGCCAACCAAACAATTTACACCCCACCCTTATGTAACATATGTCTAACCCCCATTCCATTGTTGCAGTGTTTACACATTGGTGCTGATGTCCTTTGATCGCTTCCTGGCCGTTGTACATCCAGTGACGAGCATGTCGCTGCGCACAGAACGAAATGCCACGCTGTAAGTTCATGTAACCCCCACATCTCGCCATCTATCTGCTCTCATCCAACGTACAGTCAGTCCGCCATCTCTTGCTCCCATACGTACTCCATACACGTCCACCACATCATCTAGAGTAATTGCATCAATTTGTTCTGGCCCCGTAATTAGCTTGCTTTGCCTACATCCCAGCCCCTGTCTGTATGCCTGATGCCTTGGCCTCTAACCTTTTGCTTTTGCTTTTGCTTCTGCTTTAGCTGCTGTACCGACAGGCCAGCAGCCCTCTGCCCATTGTCATTCATTGTTACATAAATTATGCCCATAGGCAGAGTTGCTTGAACCACTCAACCGTGTCACATGCTCTTCCACCTGACATTTTTAAAGGGGGGGTTTAATTCCCAGGGCCTTAAACATATCATCCTTCAACATCAGCAGCTGCAAGCAGTTTTGTTGCAGCACTTAAAATATTGCTTTATTGATGGGTTCTGCTTGCGCCGATTCATTATTAGTCTCAGTCATTTATTGATATCTCTCCTAACTAACGCCGAACTTTTGTGTGTCTCTGTGCCGCTGTAGAGCCATCATGTGTGCCTGGATAACGATTGTGACGACAGCCATTCCCGTTGCTCTATCGCACTCGGTGCGCATCTATCAGTATCGTGGCAACGCCGGCACTGCCTGCGTCTTCTCCACTGAGGAAGAGGTTTGGAGTCTGGTTGGCTTTCAGGTAAGTACATTCCATCGTAATGGAATGGCATGGCACTATCTCGCTTGGGTATTGGGTGGGTGTGGAGCAAACCCAACCAGGCGTGGCGGCTTGAGTGAAACTGAAGGAGATCGCTTATTGTTGAAATCAAGTCATATTTTCCAGTGCTTGCCCGGCACGACTGCAATATATTTGCTACTTAGCTCACAGTCCCACCACTTTCCACTCGCAGCGACAGCTTGTCAGGTTGTGTGACATACAATCAGAACAACCAAAGAACCAAAGAACCAGGGCACATGTCCACTGAACATGCCTGCAGTTCCCCTGCACAGTGAGTCCAGAACTGTTGAAATTTGCCTGCCCTTAGAGAGCGCTCAAAAGGCAGCCGACGACTGAGATTGGACACGTATTCTCCCACTTATATTTTAGCTATGCTTTACTTAAGATATTCATTAATAAAAGTTTTATAGAAATACGGCTTTAAAATTATATCTTTTGTGGTGCAACACCTATTATTCCATGAGTTCTATAGCCCATTATAAAGTACCGATACCCTGATGTCACCTCTTATGCGATACTCTAGTGCGATAAGTCATGTATGCGATACTCGCAGTGATCGATAGGATTCGGCGATCGGCAAGAAAGAAAGACACGTGAATATGTAATAAGAAATTAGTTTAAATTAAAAGAACCAAAACTCGTGCAAAGATTTTCGGTGACATTTTTGATTGTCAGAACGAGATTTTAAGGTAAACCTCGAGCTCGACATGTTTGACTTATAATTTATAGCTCTGAAAATTGTAAAATAAAAAACTGTGTAATTTTCTCTTAACACTAAGCTTTTTCATGAATAATTTTCTGTCAGGTTTTCACCTTCTATCAGGATGAATCACAATGTACAAACCACTGTGCCAGTGCACAGTGCACACCCAGTCATTGTGTCAGCTCAGTGGGAGCACTTCTGGCAAATATAGTACTTGCGCTAGGGTGAAGCTATCATGCATGCCCTCCTCAATCAGGTGTCTCCACTCTCACACACGGGTTCCGTTTTGTTCGTCTGCTCCCTGCCCGCCCTGCCCAGACAATGGCCAAGAATGTGCGCAACTAGATATGGCCACACTGGAGCGAGAGTTCAGTGTCGTATTTTGCAATTATTTTTCCGAGCTATTGGCGGGGGTAGTACAGTATGATTCCATCATCATTATGCCCAGACCCACGCCCAGTGCCATACGCATAGATCAGCGTTATCCGAAATGGTTTTTCCGTTTGGCTGAGTTGCTCATATTTATTTTTATTTTTTTTGGGAGGGTTTCATTTCAGTTTGCTATGTTTATTACTCGAACTTTTGTGTATTAATCAATTCAGGACTCGTGCCCCCAGTGCCACTATCTCGCTCTCTCGCCCCTAAAACTCCTATACACTCGCATAATTCGCCCCTTCAGGGGCACGCCCCTGTGCTGTTCTGACTTGTCTGGCGTGTCAGAGCAATTTCATGCCGGAAGGATGTTACACAGGAAGCCGCAGTTGTTTGGAAGGAGGAGCAGACCAGAGCCCAGAGCTCACTTCGAGTGCCGAATGAGCTTTGTCGTCTATTCCTATTCCACAGACTGAATGAATGACGGACTGAGCCACGAGCTGACTGATACACTGACTGCCGCCTAACCGACTGCCAGCTCAGTTCCTCCTACAGCTAATATGCACTCGTCAAGCTTCTGTTTGGTGGCCGTTGACACTCGTCCTAATGTCAACCTCTCCAGCTACCTGGGCACAGCAAATTGCACAGTTCGCTTCGGCTCATTTTCCTTGGCAAATGTCACGAATACCGGTACAGTTACGGTTACGGATACGGATGTCCCACGCCCCCACTCTGACTGTGCATATAAATCGCAATTGGTTGGGAAAACACGAAAAGGATATGGGCTTTCCTACTGAAGGGAAGCTACATTTGGATAATGTATTAAGAAGTTCATCGGGGCGGCGGGGTGTAATAGAGAATCGAAACTGCAGCAGCAAATGAACCTCGTTTTTGGTTCGTATTTGATTTCTCTTTTTGTCCCCTCATTGTCAGGGTCAATGCGGCATCGCTCTCTCTCTCTCTCACTTTCTGTCTGTGTGTTTAGAAATTTTTATGTCTATGTGTGCGTGTTGCTGTCTGAGACCTTGTCCTTGTCTGGTAATAAAATAAAAATGGATCAAACTTGTGCCGCGCATCCGTCATACAAACAATACTCGTACAACGAAACTAACGACCAAATTGTTGTCATCGTAAAGATCCCATAAAAATAAAACAAATTGTGTCTTGCAGGGTGGCGTGAAAAAAGGCGAATATGAATGGTAGAACAAAAGAGAAAATAAGATTGGAATTGAAATGGGGAAAACGAAACAAACAAAAACTTTTTTGTGTTTATCTTTCTGCAACTATGCCGAAAAAGAAAAATAGAATGAAAATGGGCGTATTGGCGTTAAGTTGTTGGCAAAAGTTTTGGCTAAAGACGAACTTTTGAAGTGTCAACTCTGACCCAGAAGTGATTGAAGCGAAAGCTCTTGCAAAAGTTCAGATTTACATTTGTATACCCGGTGCTCAAAGAGTTTAGAGATATATTAGTTTAATAACGCACAGAAGGAAACGTATTACAAGCGTATTTACATAAATCAGAAGCTCACTGACTGAGTACCTAAATCATTCGAAAAATTACAAAAATAAATGAAATTCTTCATTATTTCTTGGTTCACCACGTGCTGCTGGGGCCCTTAAATTCGTCTGGCTACATTTATGCTCTCGATTGATCTACCACCCGCAGGTGGTGATTGTTGCGCAACATTTTGCTCCATCCCAAATCATTCCGATACTTAAGCACAATCGACGTCCTGGCCTGATCTTTGGAGACTTCAGACTCCAATCCAATTTAGAATATTAAAGAAAGAAAATCCGGTTTTTAAAAGAACCCGAAACTTTCCTCATAGAAATATTTGCTATAAATGAAGCAAAAATTCTGCAACTTCACCTCCAGTTTAAGCCTCAGCTTGGTCCCACGGACCACACTATTTATGATGGCGAATTGTCTAATGATGGCGAATTTTCAAGACACCGTCAGAAACGGACTGCACGGCTGAAACGGGCAATTCGAAGGAACACGCATCAGACCTACGGATACCACCACATCCCTCGAGATGGAAGAGGGTGATATGGATGGTGGTTATGATATATTCACGATACTGAGAGGCGATGAAGAGGCTATCCAATATCGAATATAAAAGAAAGAAAATCCGGTGTTCAAAAAACCCGATGTACTTTTTTTAGTTTAGAAAGGCTGTGATCAGAAACGGACTGCACGGCTGAAACGGCCAATTCGAAGGAACACGCATCAGACCTACGGATACCCCCACATCCCTCGAGATGGAAGAGGGTGATATGGATGGTTGATATATTCACGATACTGAGAGGCGATGAAGAGGCTATCCAATATCGAATATAAAAGAAAGAAAATCCGGTGTTCAAAAAACCCGATGTACTTTATTTAGTTTAGAAATTCTGGGATCAGAAACGGACTGCACGGTTGAAACGGCCAATTCGAAGGAACACGCATCAGACCTACGGATGCCCCCACATCCCTCGAGATGGAGGAGGGAGATATGGATGGTGGATGATATATTCACGATACAGAGAGGCGATGAAGAGGCTATCCATTATCGAATATAAAAGAAAGAAAATCCGGTGTTCAAAAAACCCGATGTACTTTATTTAGTTTAGAAATTCTGGGATCAGAAACGGACTGCACGGTTGAAACGGCCAATTCGAAGGAACACGCATCAAACCTACGGATACCCCACATCCCTCGAGTGGAGGAGGGAGATATGGATGGTGGATATGATATATTCACGATACAGAGAGGCGATGAAGAGGCTATCCATTATCGAATATAAAAGAAAGAAAATCCGGTGTCAAAAAACCCGTGTACTTATTTAGTTTAGAAATCTGGGATCAGAAACGGACTCGGTTGAACGGCGGCCCTCAGCCTCCCCCCTCCCCGAATGGGGGGTACGACGGAGGCTATGAAGAGGCTATCCAATATCGAATATAAAAGAAAGAAAATCCGGTGTTCAAAAAACCCGATGTACTTTGTTTAGTTTAGAAATTCTGGGATCAGAAACGGACTGTACGGTTGAAACGGCCAATTCGAAGGAACACGCATCAGACCTACGGATGCCCCAACATCCCTCGAGATGGAGGAGGGAGATATGGATGGTGGATATGATATATTCACGATACAGAGAGGCGATGAAGAGGCTATCCATTATCGAATATAAAAGAAAGAAAATCCGGTGTTCAAAAAACCCGATGTACTTTATTTAGTTTAGAAATTCTGGGATCAGAAACGGACTGCACGGTTGAAACGGCCAATTCGAAGGAACACGCATCAGACCTACGGATACCCCCAACATCCCTCGAGATGGAGGAGGGAGATATGGATGGTGGATATGATATATTCACGATACAGAGAGGCGATGAAGAGGCTATCCATTATCGAATATAAAAGAAAGAAAATCCGGTGTTCAAAAAACCCGATGTACTTTATTTAGTTTAGAAATTCTGGGATCAGAAACGGACTGCACGGTTGAAACGGCCAATTCGAAGGAACACGCATCAGACCTACGGATGCCCCAACATCCCTCGAGATGGAGGAGGGAGATATGGATGGTGGATATGATATATTCACGATACAGAGAGGCGATGAAGAGGCTATCCATTATCGAATATAAAAGAAAGAAAATCCGGTGTTCAAAAAACCCGATGTACTTTATTTAGTTTAGAAAGGCTGTGATCAGAAACGGACTGCACGGTTGAAACGGCCAATTCGAAGGAACACGCATCAGACCTACGGATGCCCCAACATCCCTCGAGATGGAGGAGGGAGATATGGATGGTGGATATGATATATTCACGATACAGAGAGGCGATGAAGAGGCTATCCATTATCGAATATAAAAGAAAGAAAATCCGGTGTTCAAAAAACCCGATG